AGGGACCCCAGGCCCGTGTCCTGCCAGGGGTGGGAGCTGCGCTGCCCAGCCAGGGACCCCAGGCCCGTGTCCTGCCAGGGGTGGGAGCTGCGCTGCCCAGCCAGGGACCCCAGCCCTTGTCCTGCCAGGGGGGAGAGCTGCGCTGCCCAGCCAGGGACCCCAGGCCCGTGTCCTGGTGGGGGTGGGAGCCGGGACCCCAGGTCCATGTCCTGCCGGGGGTGGGAGCCAGTAATTATGTGGCTCAGACAGGCTTAGTGGGGTTGTAAGACTGGATCCCCACTGCCCCTAGCCTGACAGTTCCTACCATAGTGTAACAGACTGATCCTGCCCTGACCCCTGCTTCTGTCCTGAGCACGCAGGGGGCCTGGGGCTTTCCAGTATGATGTGCCCCTGGCAGTGGGGGAGAGTAAGGCCTCCAGCCTCCTCCTCCTCAATCAGTCAGGCCTGGGCCAGCTCAGGTGCTAACCCTGGGCATTGCCTCTGCTTCATGCGCCGGGGCCCGGGGGACTCCGTGCCTGGAACGGGGGCTGCTGCTGAGCCAGGCTCACGCGTCCGACAAGCAGCTCTGGATGCGGTCGATCCACTGCTGGGCCAGCTGCACGTCCTGGGCACAGAAATTGTAAACTCGTTTCGTCGTCTTCAGCTGCAGGGAGAAAAGGCGAGAGCTGAGGCAGGGTGTCCGCCGGGCCCCGGGTCCCCACCTGGGGAGATGGGCAGGCAGGACTGGTTGGGGGCCGGCACCTTCCTGGAGACACAACTTGGCTCCAGCCGAAGGTGGCGAGTGCCTGGCAGAGTCTGTACCCCTGGGGTCCTCTGCAGAGACCACAGCGCAACTCAGGAGCCCAAGAGCCCCGGCCTTGCTGCTGGTGCTCAGCTGCCATCCTTGGTCCAGCCCCAGCCAGTATCACCCCCCGGCCACCCCCTGGCACCGAGATCCAGCTTCTCGGGGGCTGGGGACTCACGTCGAAGAAGGCCTTCTCCTCCACTGTCTTGGGGGCCCCCATGGTGGGGGTGCCGGGGGTGATGGACTCCACTTCTGCCAGGTCAATGACCCCTTTGCACTCTGTGTCCATCCGGTTGTCATAGTACCGCAGCTGCAAGGAAAGGTGCCGCACGTCAGCCAGTGCCCCCGAGCTCACGTCAACACCGGGCCGGCTGAGCCATTCCCCTTGTCTAGCCCCTCCAGTACCTGATGTTTGGTTTTATCCAGCACGAACCAGCGGGGCTTCCAGGGCTTCATGAAGGCTCCTTTCTTGTAGAGCGTCCCCTCGTACGACCTGCGGGCAGCCAGAGAGCGGGTTAGCGCCTCACTGCCGCGCACCGGGGGGCGAGAGCCCAGTGGGGATGGACCAAAGAGCTCAGCTCCCAGCAGCCAGAGACGGAACCGGCTAAGCTGCACAGGGCTGGCCCCATGGGACCCACACCCGGTTCCAAGCAATAGGGCCCATTGCTGACCACAGGGCCCATGCGGCCTAGCCTGGCCGTCTCCCCCGGGGCAGCCAGAGCTCCCTTCACCTGTTCTCGCTCTCTGACATCTGGAACTGGCTGTAGAGGTTGCTCGTGCTCTTGGGGCCCCCCTGCTTCCCGCTGGACGGGGTGGAGGTGCTGCTGGTGTCGCTGTCCAGGCTGAGGTTGAGGGTGGAGCCCACGCTGCTCTCCTGCAGGTAGACCCCCAGCGAGCGCCGGTGGGGCAACAGGCTGGAGGACATCAGCAGGGAACTGGACGCCATCTGCAGAGCACAGAGCAGGGAAGTGAGGGCACGGGCCCCGCCCACTGGTTCCTTCTCATCGTCACACGAGACCCATTGAGCCTGGGCACAGGGCACTATCAGCCCCTCCCCGGCCACACCGGCAGCTGGGGGCAGAGCCAGGAGCCCTTGGCCAAGTGCCGGAGCAGGCTCCCGGCGCACGGCTCCTCCCAGCCCAGCCCCTGGCTCACAGACCTACCCTGCTGGCCTCCTGCCGGGCCTCTGTGCGTTGGGAGGCTTTGACCTTGTCCCACGTGTCCTTCCAGCGCTCCGGCACCTGGCCCAGCTCCGCCTCCAGGTTGTGCAGCTCCTG